CCCCTGGTGCAACTTGAGGCCATTTTGTCTTGTCCTATCACCTGTTCCTTGGGAGAAGAGACCGCTCCCCCCTCGCTACCCCCTCATTTCAGGGAGCTGTGGAGAGCGAGAAGGTCTCCCCTCAGCCTCCTCTTCTCCAGCCTCAACACCCCTATCCCCTCAGCCGCTCCTCACCAGACGTGTGCTCCAGACCCCTCACCAGCTCCGTTGCCCTTCTCTGACCCAACCCGTTTTCGCACGGGGGGGAAGCAGTGAGTGGAGCACTCCGAGCGCTGCCCAGAGCTCCACACACCGCACCTCCATCTCTTCTGCTGCTTTTTGAGTTGCCCACAGGGTACGAGGCGTTCCGAGTTCAGAGCAGAACGGAGTCTTGGCTGACCTTAGCAGGTCGAGCAGCCTCAGAGGCTGAAGACAGACCCTAGCAAAGGCCTGGAAACTTGGGTTGTAAATCCTATAGGGATTTCAGCCTCTCTTTTTTGGCTGCAAGAGTTGGCTCCCTCAGAGCAGAGCTGCGTGTGCAGTCGATGCCCTGGGAGCCGGGAGCACAGGAGGGTGTTTCAGCATCTATTGCAGAGCTTGACGTTTCCCTGTGTCGCTTCCCAGCCCGTGACCTAAATTATGAGTAAGAAGATATTAAGCCTGGATTTTAACTTAAGAGCTGACTACACCCACAGGAGAAATTAAAGCACAGGGTTGTTTTTTGAACGAAGGTAAGCAAGCAGTGAAATACTGGATGCTTTTATTAAACTGCTGCCAGAAACAGGAAGATTTGAGCAACAGCCTGTTCCTCGTTATTGCTCTTACTCCTCTAAAACCTATCTCATACCCCTACCATATTCAGGCACAGCACAGTTCTGTTTGGGCTTGTTGGCTTGTTATGTTGCAATAAAATGTTAATTAACCTTAATTCCTTACTCCTTCCGCATTGCTATTAAACCCGTTTCCCCCCAAACTAGCATTTGCCAGCTCTTACTGGAATTTCTTCACCATAAATTCTGTGGGGTTTTGTGAGCAATGCCATGACCGTGGTACCAGAGAAAACCTTGGGAAAGGAATGTGGCAGAGCTGTAACTTCTTGGTTTTGCACGAGTCCTGAATTGCTCATTGCGGTGAGAGACTGTACCCCATCGTCCTTCTGTGGCTGGTTGGCGGCTGCCTACAGGTGCTCCTTCTGTAAGTACTGGATGTCTTCTTTCTTAAAATAGAGAAGAAAAAAAAATATCCAAATTTGCAAGTATTGACTCTAAATACATGCTCTCAGTCCTTGAATAATGCCATCTCCTTTGATTATAGGTCCTTTGTCTCACCTCAGCCAGTTCTTGCAGCTAATAACATACCAGCGGATTTAAGACATGTGTCCTTTGCTGAGGAATGAGATGATCTAAAGTAATGCGATGCTCTAACTGCAACCCACCTTTACTCTTTCAGGAAAGATGTGGTTGATGTTGAACCATGAGGCATTTTATATTGGGTTTAGCTCCGTGAAATTTCAGCTAATGCCATAAAAGAGTTAATTGGTTTCTGCAGTTTACAGTCTAAGTTTATCCCGTGTCAGGATTTTCTCCTGCCACTGTTCGTAGACAAGGTGATAATCTCGTATCTGAAGGCAAACATATAGAATACATTTTAGTGATCCCATGGAGCGGTTTCCCAGGCAACTGTAACATCTTCATCCACAGCAGGGTGCAGGGCTTGCCTGGCCAGCTTCTCTTCGTGCGAGCGAGCCTGCAAGCCGCGAACGTGCCTTGCCATGCTTTGTGGAGGTTAAAAAATGCAAACGTGGTTTGGACTATTTTGGGGGGTTTCCTCTTGAAGTTAAGGTCATTCCTGGGTGTGGTATTGTCCAGAACAAGGAGTATTTGACTGCTTAGGTTGGAAAGATGCATAGCCCAGCCGCAACCTGCCAGCTGGGATTGAATGGATGATGGCCTCTGTGAAGACCGTGAAACACGCTGCACAGGGTCCAGAGATGGGCAGGGGAACCAGGAACCATCCCTTTCCAAAGAGAAATATTAGTGATACAAGAGCAAAAAAAAAAAAAAACCCCACATGGCTAAAATTAGGATGGGGAATCAAAAGATCGCTTTATGCTGGGGAAAAAAGACGTAGCAAATACGTTTTGTTCTTGTACTGTGTCCATTCTTGCGGAAAATGGGACTGACCTCAGAAGGACAGCGGAGAACATCAAGTCTGTATGAACATGGTGTGCTCTTCTTCAAAATCCTTCCCCAGCCCCTGTTTATGCTACGCCACCCCAAATGTGTCAGCGGGGCTTTGAGAGAGGCTGTAGGTTAGAAAATAGCCCTGGGAAATTCGAAGTTATCAGGCTCTGCTTTCCCCATCTCTGACATTTGGAACAGAAAAAGCAGCTTACAGCCCGTGAACTACAGGGATTGTAAAGCAATTTGATGGGGCTTAAGAACATAGTGTGTAATTTGGCACTGAAAACCCACACATGGACTCTGAGATGCACACCAAGAAACCACAGTAGGGCCAAACTGTGAATCGTTCCAGGGAGATGGGAAATCTTTGGGTTGCGCCTGTTGGTCACATCTTCGATGCGCAGCTATCCGTATCTGAGCTAGCTTGGTACGCCCGCGGTACGACATGCCCTAAGGCCACAAGCTTCAACACTCTCAAAGAGCACATGTTAAGAGACTCTGCCCTTATATCAGAAGCCTGCGATGAGTTGAATCAGGGTATTTTTAGCTCCTGTCCTGTTGGCTTAGATGATGTTGATATTATGAAATTTGGCAAGGCAGAGAACTGTGGGGTTATTTGAGTTTCAAGGGATCTCTTCTATGTAATGTGGTCCTGTCGTTCCAGCTGCGGTAAAGAGACTGGGAACTGCATGAGCTTTGCGTTCTTAGTTGCTCATTCATAATTTGTTGTAGTAGTCTGGAGCATCTCGAATCTCATGAAGTAATGACAAAGGGTGGGCCCGTGGCGGGCGCTGGAGCCCTGTGCAGAGATCCCAGAGCTAGTGGAGATGGTGCTCACTCCAGCACCAGGAGAAGCATCACCTCATCCCCAAGCCATGGTCCCTACATGCATAAACCCTGCTGAGACAGCTTGGGCCCCACCACACTCACGTGGTCATTTGGTGCTGACGCACGCTATGATTCCGTGGAGCGTTGATTCGGGTGTGCTCCTTGCTGCTGCACCATCGAGTCCTTCAGCTCCCAGTGCTTCTTGCTTTTAAAAAGAGGCCCTCAGCCCCTTTGAAAGTTACACCCTGTCTATCTTCCCTACTCACAGTTGCGACTCACTCAGTCTTTATTGAAAAGTGCAATATTAAAGTCCGTCATTGAATTTTTTCAGTGTACTTGCGTGATGGGAATTGGGTTTAAAAGCATGAACTTTTACTGTTCGAATGAAAGAACTGGCTGTCGGCAGGTGGGCTCTTTGGAGGGAAAAAGGAGTCACGGGGTTTTTTTGTGGACTACATGTTTGCTTCTGGCAGTCAATATAGTGTCAAGCTGAATGGAGAGCTGGTCCTTTTCACGTACTGTGTCGTCAACACTTTTCTTGTGAGACTGGAGCAATAAAATTCTGTAGTAAGTAGCCAGAAAATACCCACTGTCCCGTCCACAGAGAACAACCCTCCCTCAGCATTTGTGGCCTGTCCTGTTTCCCTGGAGAGTGAGGTTATGTTAGTTTTTCTAATATTGGATTTCGTGATTATTCATAGTAATCCATATTCTTGATTAAGAAGTAGCAGTTGATTACCCCCAGAGCTTGCAGCTGTGGGAAGGAGTATGGGTTGGAAAAAAAACTGATGCTAAAAGGGGAATTCACAAGGTGGAGATGGGGAGAGAGATGAGGTTTCTAAATTAGGTGTTAATGCAAGCAATAGAAGAATAAGGGAAGCAAATATAACTTCTTGAGGAGTTATATCATGCGCTAAAACATAATTAGGTGTGAAGTAATGCTTGCGAAGAGCAGAAATATCCAGTCAGCTGCAATGGGTTTTCAGTGAGGAAACCAAAACTTCTTCGGTCTTTTAACATGTGATATTTTTGGATGAAGCCTTTCATAAGAGGAGGAGAACACAAGGGAGAATCAGGCTCCTCGGCAGCTTGTGTTCAGACAAAAGGCATGTCAGCTTGGGCACCAAATTGTATGACAGCAACGTTACCTCTCTCCTACTTGAGGACCTTTATAAGCAACGATAGTCACCAAGTAACGATCCCGGGCTGGTGTTTTGCGAGGTAGGGAAGCTCCTTGCCGTCACTCATGGAGTACCAAAGGTACCGCAAGGTACCCGATGCTGCGTACCACCTCTCTGCCTCCACTGCCGGCAGACCAAGGCAGACTCGTAGTTTGATTTTATCTTCCTACCAGCAAATTTTGAAAGCACAGGTATGTTCACGATGTGAAGCTTGCTCTTTGCCTTCTGTTTAGTAGGTCTTTTCGGAGAAGGCCCTTCCTATCAAAAGGATTTTGCAGAAAAAGATGCCTCCTTTAAAGAGGCTGCAATACCCTTGTTTATTAAGTGCCACAGACAAGTAGAAAGAAAATAGCAGTAAGTTAAAAGAGCGTGACGAACAGGTGGAAAATGCTCTGCATTTTGGAGAAAAAAGGTGTGTCCTCTCACCTCCTACAAATGATGACTGCTGTTCCAGATGTAGCCACTTATTGCCTAAAGGTACTTGAGGTCTCGTGTCACAAATTTAAACTGGCATCTTACCCTTCTCCAGAAATGCCAAGAGCTAATCTGTGGAACAGCTGAGACTTCTGCCTCGCAAATGTTGCCTGTTCACAAGGAAATGAGCCACCCCTGAGTTGTGATTTAGATTATTTCTCATAGTTGTGTGCCAAGTGAGAAGTACCTTTGCTTCTCTCCCAGCTGATCAGACCAGGACTGTTTGTTGAGGAAATGAGACTGTAGACAGATGTTCTGAATCCAGCTGACCTGTTTTCCATCCTGAAGGTTACTCCAGATTGCATAAAAACCTGCTCAGGTGTACGCAATTCACCCTTTTCTGTCCAATCTGTAGATGATGAGTATCCTGATGAGCATTTGGCATCCTCTGTGTTCCTCACTGACCTTGCAGTTATTACAGGTCCGCAGGTTTGTGTCCCACTTTTTGCCTCCCAACCATAATTGTTTCATTGGGTTAGCTGTGCTACCGTGACTAACTTTTGCCCTACGTCATTCCCTCTTTTCCATTCCCAAATGACATAGTGCTTGTTGGTATGACAACTCAAGGGCGTAGAGAGCAGGAAAAAAATGGCTTTGTACTGAGATTCTGTAGACGAAAATATGCAAACTTGCTGGAGCCAGAATATTCTGTTGGCATCTTAGCATAATAAAAAAGAGCAGGTAAGTTTTCCTTGTCTTTCTTAGCCTTATCCACTGGAGAACCCTGAGATACAGCGCAGTAACATACATAAAAAATTATGCCCTTCAAAACCATCCATCTCTTTCTCCCTATTCCCTACTATTTATACTATTTATGTTAGCTTTCCTCGACTCCTTTAAAGTTTGATCCCTTTAAAGTTTGATCTCCTCTTCTTAAGTCACATCAGGCTTTCCTACATCCTTTTCTCCTCGCTCTCCTCAAAAAAACTTTGCCTTTTCTTGTCTATCTAGGCTCGTTTCTCTTTCTTGCTTCTGCTTCAACAACGATTCAGGCTTTCTCAGATCATCCAGATCTTTGTTGCATCCGAACAGAAATTGGGTTTCAGCTTTGACAGGTGTCTTTTTAGCTCAGCACTGACATCTTTTCTTAGGCAGCAACTTCCTGTAGGGTCTATTTGAGAAATTTCTGAAAGCATACATTATGTTGGCACGCACAAGTAAGCATAGCAAAAATGTTAATTACCACCACTTTTCCGTTGCTGAGTCTCCCCTTAATGGGTTGAGCAAGTTTTGTCTGCTCTGCTCTTCTTTTTTTCTTTTTTTTTTCTCCTCCAGATAAATTATCAAATGATTTTAACATTTGGTGGTGGTGCATGGAGAATAATGAGAGCTTGTTTTTCACATTGTACTTCATGCGGATTGTTTTTTCTTAAGGCACGCTATGGAATCCGACAAAACCGCAAGAGCATCTATAAATCGGAAATCTTTTCTGTCGCGTTTAAATATGTTTTTGCCAAAAGCATTATTCTTGTCATTTCCCATAGACCGCAGCAGGACTGCGGTAGCATCAGCAGATTTTTTTTGGCAGAGGGCCTGCAAGGTGCCATGCGCCGTGGTCTGTGGGAGATGATGATGACATTTGGTGTCACAGGCTCAGGTTTTACATCACCGCCCAATCTGATGCGATCGGCAGCTCTGCCCCGTGCCGGGGGGGAGGTGGGACCGGCGGACCCAGGTAAGGAAACTCATGCTGTCTCTGCCCACGTCGTCTCTGCGTACGTTGACTGTAGCCAGGAAAAAGAACATACATATAATTATAGATGATGATTTAGACTTTAAAATCCGGAGGATGGTGACTATGCCACAGCCAACAATTCCTGTCTGAGGTAGGATCAAAAATGTGACTTTAAAGCTAATTTCTACTTCCGGCACGGGGGATCAGACTGCAACTTCATCCCCTTTGCTGTGACAGTGACGTGCACGGCTCCGATGATGCCGAAGCGCTTCGGAGTCGGGTGGCAACCTGCACCCCGAGGTTCACATTGTCCTTATGCCCACAAACCTTGCACCCTGTTCCTTACGCGGTCCAACACCGCTCGCTTGCTGCGCACCTCCTCCTGCCGAGCCTCTGCCCGGGCAGAGCGAGGGGAGCAGGACGCCCTTAGGGAGCGGGAGGCAGGAGCACCGCTGCTTCTTCCTTTAATGCCTTTTTTCATTTTCTTTTTTTTTTTTTTTTTCCGTGCCTTGCTGGAGCCTTAACCATTGCTAGCGCAGGCTGAGAGGGGAACGATGTCTGTATAGAAAATTGGGGTTTTAAAAGGGAGCAGTGTGCCTGTGGAGGGAGGGCTGCAGTGCCCATGGCTCAGCGTCTGCCGGGGGCTGGAGCGGCGTGTCGCTCGCAGGACTTCCCTCTGCGGGCGGCAGTGTGAGCAAGCAGAACGAAATCCAATAAATGCGTCTCTCCTTCTGGAGAACTTCTGCAGTTGAAAGAGGAACAGGGAGCTGTTTATCCATGGCGGCCAACACAGGCCTCGACGGACTCGGAAAATATGCACCCGACCTTTGATGAGACTATCGCATCCTCCGCGGAGAGCACCACTGTGCAAACGCCTTGGTGGCACAGGAGCAGAGTAAATAACAGAGAGGAGAGGCTCTGGGCAGTGGGCATGAGTGCTGCGCGCTCCTGGGGTGGTTGGAGATGGTCAGTCTCTGCCCAGTCCAACCTCCGAGGGCAGGAGGGGGGGCAAGAGCCGTGCTTCCCCCCGGCCACACCGTTGGGCGTTGTGACCCCTCGGCCCGGTCAGCCAGGGCTGTGCTCGTTCTGGAGCACAACAAGTTTAAAGGGATTAGAAAAAATCATGGTGGGGAAGCGCACGGAAATAAGTGTGTGTCTGCAGCAACTTTTTAGCTCCTTTGTGCCTCTGTAGATGAGATCTCAGTGGTGGAAGCGAAGGGTTTGGTTGTATCTCACCACCCTTGCTGGCAGTGAGAACACAGCAATAACGACCGAAGGAATAAACTCGCTTTCGGACGTCTGTTTTATTCTGTCTTTGTGACTTGCTGGGATTTTCTAATATCACAGAGTCAGAAACACATTTATAGGCTGTGAGTATGATTAATTTCTATTTTGCACCTTGCTATGATCTCAAAGCAAACCATCCTGGCTCTTTGGTTTCTTGACGTACTTGAAAGCAAGAAAACATTTGAGCTTAGAGCAAAATATCCGGGCAGCTGTCTCCCACAAAAGCCACGCCGAGGTTTCGCTGTGAGCATCCTAGAGGGGAATAACAAGATTTAGCACCTTGTCTTTATCCAGACCACTAACCTGCTATGGTTTTGCAATGCCTGGGGTTATACCCATGGACCATGCAGACAGGTTTTGGTGTATTCTTTCATTTTTATTGTTTTGATCCCTTATCAAAGGCACACGCTGCCAGTTTAAACACTTTAGATTTACTACTGTGAAGGGGGAGGGAAATATCATGTTCTAAAGCTTATAGGCGTGTTAACCTTACTAAGTTGAAGGGTGGATAGACTTATCGGCAACATTTGTGTTGTGTTTCATATGTTTTTCGTGGGAAAACCAAACGAGAGGAGCAGCGAGGTGCAATACACTGTCCCTTTAACAAAGCAAGCAGGAGAGGAGAGGTGAAGTTGTTGGCTTTGCAGGGAAGTGGAAGAGATTGCTGCTAATTTATTCTCATAAAATGCAAATTTTATGGATGCTGGGAATTTTTATTATGGTCCTTAATGATTAATATGACCTATGATACCTGCCAATGAACCTTACCTGGGAGCAAAGCCTCAGACTGGGTGCTCCGCAGACAGAGTAGAAGACAGAAATGTCAATTGCCACTTGTTCTGTTAAACCTGATTCATCCAGACCTGAAGTGGGAATATCTTGAACGTATCTAAATCTCCATATACACTTTATGCATGTAAATCACAGTTGTGGTGTGGTAAATTGCATCCTGAATAGCTAGAAAAAAATAAACTCAAAGAAGCGAGCAGCCAATGTGAGAGCTTGAATCTTCGCTCTGTTCAGATAATATCACTTCTGTGGGTCTCCGAGGTGGACAAAGCCCTTGAGCCCAGTTCTGGACGGTTGATGTCTCGACAATTCAGACTCGCCCAGCTGCAATCTGCATCTGCCTCGTGTGGAAGCAGTTTGTGGTTGCTCAGCTCGTCAAAGCCTTTGAAAAGGTGGAATTTGCTCTTGGATTTTGTGGGGAAAAAACCCCAAACATTACGTGCCGGTCTCCTCTTAGAGTGAGGTCCTAAGGACCACAGTCTGTCAGAGGTGGCTTTTAGGCAGAAGTGGAAACAGAAAGGTGGCTAAAGAATTTTGCTAAGAAAGACCTTACTGTGAGCATTTGTAATACGAGCATGAATGAAATACATGCAGACCCTCAGGTTAACCATTATTTTCTTCCTAGTATTCAGACCCAATGAGATTGGTTT